CCTTCTTCTTAGAATGGTATTAATGAGATGGACGATCTCAGAAAACAACTAACTTTGAATGATTTAGTTGTAAAACACACATCAGCTTGTAGGATTTGTTGTTTTTACAGAGTCGTAATTTCAGGCATTTCAATGGTATACCTATAACCACAACAGAAAAGAGTATAAGGTTAATTCAAAACGATAGAATAACTTCCTAAGTTTGTATATTATTGAAATCAACTATTAGTCAGAAATAAACTATGGGCTGAGCCATATTACGTGTTCTTTTTTAACTTCGTTGGCAGTTTATCCTTGATTGTATCTAATTACGAGGAATGGAAAAATAAAGCTATCGGAAAAGTATATGTATACATATATATATTATAGAGGCTTTAGTTTATCACTAAAAAGACATTTTATGACCTACTTGCTAAAAATGATATCTTTATACGTATCAATTTGTTCGTTTTTAAGCTTAAGCCCCGCAGCTGGTATCGAAACCTGATTTTTAGCGTTATACCTCACAGACTTACCGCTGAGCCACCGCGGACTTTATTATTAATAATAATCGTTTCGAAAAAGTTTTAAGTTTCCATTTGTCACCGAAAACGACATTTTATAACCAGTTTAATAAAAGTAATATACTTTCAGTATTTCATCATTATTAGCAAGTATTTTTAAACAAGTTTTAAAAACAGTGCTTTGAAATAAATGTTTCAATTGTTGCAAGAGTTACCAGAGTAAAGAGTAAAATATCACCTTATAAATACTGTTGTTTATTCGATTTCCTACATGCAATTAAATTCCTCAGTCATACTTTTTGCTTCTATGACTTTAGTGCTTACAGACTAGGCTTATCAATGTATTTACATTTTGTATTTATAGCAAAGTTACTAAGACTATCTGGCGTCGTCTTTAATTTTGAACTAGTGACCATAAGGAAGGTGACCAGTCAGCAGCGCATTACCACCCACCATGCACGATAAGTGATTGACTGTTACTTTATAACTTATCCACAACACAAAGTAGAGGGAATATTTAGTGGTATTCGCACGGATTCAAACTCAACACATCAAGCTACGAAATCCAAATCTTTATCATAGGGCCAACCCGCGTCCCGTTATTCAACGTTTCTGAGTGTATAATGAGTGCCATAATGTAAACTGTGAATTATTTTATTAAATTGTGATGTTTGACTTAATCACACTTTTTAAACAAATATTAAATAATGTGAAACACATCCGTTTCAGAACAACAACAACAACAAAAGATTTCTCTGAAATAATTGATAATTTTTCAATATAGATAGGAAAGAAATATCCTTCTAGTAAATAAATAGTGTTGCCCTTAGAAATAATATACAATGTCAATCAGATCTAAATTGGATTATTTGTTTCTGAATTTCGCGCAAAGCAGAGCTATCTGCGCTAGCCGTCCCTAATTCAGCAGTGAAAGATAGAGGGAACACGACCCACCGCCAACTCTTAGGCTACTCTTTTGACCGTCACATTATAACGCCTTCACGGCTGAAAGGGCGAACATGCTAGGGAGGGACGGTGGATTCGAACCCGCGACCCTAAGGTTGCGGGATAAGCGCCTTAACCACCTGGCCATGCCGGGCCCTAATCTGAATTGGAAATGTTTGAACGTAAATTGACTCTAACTATCGATTTGGCACTTTTAAATGTTCTCTAAAGAAACTGTGAAAGTTATTTTCAAAGTTTAGCTGTAGCGTTTTCGTGCTTTGTTGGTAAAGTTCCTACTTCGATGATTGACCTTTATTTAGTGTTATTCTACATTAAACATCTAAAGTAAAACGTTATTTGGGTCCTTGTTCCCACATGCATAAATACATAAAACCTTACGATTCATTCGCTTTACCTGTCTGTAAATCTTGGGTGTTGTAGATACTGAAATCGCTGCGACTAAACGTTAATAAACCAGAAAGTCGGCAGGATTGATAATCTACATTTTTTAGTCTTTATTATTTAGTTTTAATTAATTATAATTTTGTGGCTATAAGTATATAAGCCTATAAACTTTCAGTTTTAAGAGAATTTGAGAATCGGTAACGTAGAAACTTCAGTAATAGATTAGACTAGGTATAACATACTTATAAAAATTCAGGTTTTAAGTATCCTTAATTGGCCTATATTTTTAAATATGTTCAGAAAACATTTGAAGCTAACACGTTTAATAGATGCGTGAGCTTGCTAGTAATCATTAAACAATAGGTGTTAGCTCATATAACTAGGTAATTAGACTGCTTTAGTCTGTAATACTGGAAATGATGCTATACATAATCCTAGTAATTTTTATTGAAAATAATTTGTAAATAATACAGTTGCTACAACAATGGATAATAAAACATTCATCACTCTGATCAAGCAAGAAAGTAATGAAAACCTGTATCATACTGATTTTGATACATTTTGTATAATACGCTATACATATATATATATATATATATGCGATCAAGTATGCAATTTAATAATAAAAAAAAACGCCATCGTTTCCAAGGAATATTATAACAAATCTTCAATGTGATATCGTGAACTGAAATGAGTAAAGAATAGATACGTGTACAGTCGGCTGTGAATGTATTTTTTATTGAAGTAGTTAAGTTTAACTTGAAAGCTTGAGAAATATTTTTCTATGTAATAAAAACAAAAAGAGTCAAACTTTAATATTTTTCATCTTACCTGCTATCCACTGGCTGCCTACATTTCTCTGTGAATTTTAAATCAATTTTGGTAGATGAGTACTTCAAGAATTTTCATTAGCCTCTTGACTCCCGCAAGTATACAGCTGGGCGTCAGAGCTCTCTCTCAGGTTTCCCTTGTTGTCACCATGCCGATGGTACTGGTCGCCTAGGCAACAGGTAGAAGTGAATCTCGAACACGTCAGTTTAGGGGACTGCGCACACAGTATGGGCTTATGAACAAATCTTCCTTGTTTATTCGCAGACAAATATCTATATATCTGGGTGTTATCGAATGTCGTTCGACGTTGTTTGTTATTACCGAACGAAAATTACTTCATTTCGAATACCATAATCCCACACAAGTCTGTATTCGGGCATACGTATTTCTTGAAGAGCCAGTCACGATATTGTATTTTGGACAAATCTACACATATACGGTTTCCCTGCTTGCAGACTTATTGCATTTCAATGTATTACAGCTTTGAATATTGAATTGGCTTCGTAACAACTTTACAATTACCTCTATCCTGTAGATAATTCAGAACCTGATCAGCTATAAAACTTTCGAGCCTATTTGAACAGCTTCAGTTCCAACTCGTAGACAGTACACATTTTAATTTCGATCATTTTTAAAAGTTTGGCAAAAGGCGCTTAAGTCATTACATAATACTAATAGATAAATTACCTTGTAAATTAGTATTAAAATTTATTTTCCAGAAAGTCTTTGACCAAAGAAGACGTGTAGCTATCTAAAACTTTCCAGCACTTTCTGTATTTTGAACCATTCTATATACATCACTTTGTCGTATAAATGTTAATTGAAATACATTTCTTTGTAACTAATTGTTTTATGTTTTCGTCCCTTTATCACTATTTGAACATTTCGTGCCTATGTTTTAGCACATTTGTTTGTTCTTCATATATTTACACATATGAAAATAACTGAGCAGGAGTAATTAATTTTGTTCTTCCACACATCGAGACAGAAGAAAATAACGCACTATTTGTTTTTATGTAAATATTAAAACTATTAATAAGCGTAAATATATCCTAGCATTTGTTAACGAAGATATACGAATTCATCTGTTAAGGTAAACAAAATAATATGGATTATCTAAGTTCTGTTTTTGACAATATTTATCTAAAAGAGTACGAGACGTGTACTACTTGTTTTTTCACGATGCTGAAATTTCTCCTTTTTTTTCCACTTTTTTTGCGCCTGTCAAATGGTCGCAATTTGGCAAATTTCTGGCTAGTAAACAGACTTTGATATTCGCTTGTTTCCTAAATTTACTTATCGGATACCTAATTCTTAACAATAGTTTTGGTGTTTGCTATAGTATCTAGATTAAAAATAAAATCAGATTGAATATTTTAATTTTGTGGCAATGGAGCAAACTAGCGTAAAAATGTTACAGTTTTCATCTAGTAAAAAATTCAAAGTTTTCGTTAATATTTTTATTCAAACAACATTCTTTCTGTAATTTTAAGAACATATGTTACTTCAATATTCCACCCAAAGTCATTGCTGATACATCTGTACAAATTTGTTTTGTATTGATATCGCCCTTTGTAGCCTAAGCTTAACATCTGAGGGCTTATAACGTTGAAATCCGGGGCTCAATCCCTGCGTGGGCACAACTCAACAAATAAAAGAACAATATTATTTCAAAAAACATTTAGATGCAATTTTGGGTGAATATAAAAATAAATAAACAAAAATACCATCGTTTGAAGAAATTATATTTTATTTTGCTTTCAAATATTGCTTTTATACTTAAGTTTGAAACGGTAATTATACAAGTATGCACAAGTAAGTGACTATTACATATGGAATGTAAAACAGTGGTGTAGCCTCGAGTGGGACTGGGCGGGCCACGGCTCGTCCACCCAACACTCAAGTCTACCCATTCAGAGTCTACATGATAGTTCCCGCGTCATACGTATCACTTTGTTGTTATTGGCTTCTTTTTTCCTAACTTGTTTTCATGAGTTTGTATACCTCCTGCTGGTTCATGGTAGTTCGGGTCCACTCAAATATGCCCCCCAGGGGCACAGCGGTATGTCTGTGGAGTTACAACGCTAGAAACCGGGTTTCGATACCCGTGGTGGGCAGAGCACAGATAGCCCTTGTGTAGCTTTGTGCATAATTAAAAACCAGCAAACAAACTACACAAATATTTGTATCTGTTTGCAAATTGCGAACTATGTAGAAAATTACTGAGCAAAACACACACACACATATAT